TCAAGGCTGCGTATCAGGCTGACAGCTGAACTTAAGAGTTTCCTACCTGCTACATGAAGGCATGGAGGGTCCTGAAGAGAAGCTGAGGCTTGTATCACTGGCAGGTTCAGTGTCCCTGCTAGTGCCCAGAAGGCCATTAGTGAAGATGCTGCCTTGTTTACAGTCAGACTCCAGGATAGGATGGATGTTGTCTTTTTGTTTTGTGTCTTTTCCTTTCTAGCTAGCTCATGATCTCTCTTTATGAAATTATTTTTTTCCTTAACATTTTGGACCTCATGCATGCTAGGTAAGCAGTCTACCACTTACATTTTTTTTTTTACCAATACTTTCCTGAATTTTTAGAAACAAAGTAAAATTCAGTATAATTTGTAAAGTGTATACTCAGAGAATGCTTTTTTTAAATAATTTTTTCTCCCAAAATGTACAGCATAGTTTCTGGAATCTCTTGGCTTTCTTTCTCTTCCCATTTGCATAGAATTTTTCTTTTTTTTTTCTTTCCTTTTATTTCTCTGTTTACTTTGGATTCTGTTCCCAGGTGTTATTTTACTGTGTGGTTTATGGAGAAAGACAACTTTGATTGGTAGTTTTGAGAGTTAATAGATCCCAGGTGGCTCTAGCTCCTGTGGAATTTCCTGTAAACTATTTGTGTTCACTACTAGAGGAGTTGAAAAATCTGCTTTCAGTGGCTATCCTTAAGCAGATGCACTGAGCTTCTGAGACTTTTGAAGTTATCAGGTGGATGCCCCTTGGTGTTCTCCTGCAAGCTCCTTCACAGGTGGTACACCAGTCTCCTTTGTTAATTAGATGCCACACTAACAGACTGTCTTGTCACTTCATTTCATTGAACATGTTTTAATTTGCAATGCTTTTTGATTCTGAACTCCTAAGATTTTCTTACCCATGTTTTAAAAGATGTGAGGCTAGGTATTGAGCCAGTTGAGCATGCTCACTCAGGACTTATTAGTTGTCCTAGTCCACTGTCTCTTCAAGTATGCCTTAGAATTCCTTCAGTTTTACTATTTGTAGAACTATACTTTTAGATCTTTTGATTCTGCCTCAGAAGTATCTTAAAATCATATTTCTAAAGTTTTAATATTTTCTTATAATTTTCTATATATAAGTGTTTTGTCTACATGTCTGTCTGTGTACTATTGTGTGCTGGTGCCTTCTGAGGCCAGAATAGGATATCAGACCCCCAGGAACTGGAGTTTCAGGTAATTGTGAGCCACTATGTGGGTCCTGAGAACTAAGCCTGGGTCCTCTGGAAGATCAGCCAGTGCTCTTAACTGCTGAGGCATCTCCCCAGTCCTAGATTCTTTGTATTTATCATTCTGCTTGCTTTTATTATGGCTATTTATTTTGGAACTTTATTAATTTTGATTATTACTAATTCTAATGTGTTGATACTCCTACCTCTCAAGTTGCTTATTTCAGTGACTATATTTTTAGTTCTAAAATCTTTCATTCGTCTTCATGGACGCATGTCTGAAATTCTTTAAATGTATATCCAGTTGTCCAACTTTCCATCAATTTTCTTGATCATATTGTACCAATCACAAATAATGCCTTAAAGTTCTCGTCTCCTAAAATTTGATATTTATAATGTGTTTGTATTTGGATCTTGTCTTTTTTTTCTTTCTTTTTCTTAGTGGTGATGGTGTCCTAGTTCTAGGAGCACTGATTATTTTTAGACTAAATTTTGTATATGCTTAGTGCTTTTGGTTTTCTACATGAAGAAGGGGTTTTGTTTTCCTCTCCCAGGCAGGTAGCATTAACGGCTAATAATTCTGATCCAAAAGGGAGATACATGACTTCAGGCTACATCGAGTTTTGATAAATCCCAGTTTATCTTTACTCAGAGTCCTGATCAACCCAGTTCATCTCTGACTTATGGCATTAGCCCCCACTTCAAATACAACTTTTAGGCCTTTGCCAATAGACAGAGGCATTTCCCCCTTATTTGTCAGATGTAGTGAATTGACATTTGGCCATTTGAGAGAAATATGCACCCAGTGGATACTTGACTTCAGAGAACAGAAGACTTAGTTCTTTACATTTCCACACTAGGAAGTTATTTACATTACATTGTTTCAGTCAATGTGAAAGCGGGCCACAGACAGTATATCACCTGGTAATGTCATAACTATTTTAGTATAATTGTACACACTAAACTAACGGTGCATTTCTAAAGATCATACTAAGTGACACAAGACTATATTTGAGTCCCCTCTGTCTCTGTTTATTGTGACACCTTATGCATGGCTAGGTTAGTGTTTTTCATCTTCTTTATTAGGCAGCTGCTCTGCCTGAGGCCATTCTGGCTACTCTCAGAAGTCAGGTATCTCAGGGCGCATGCTCCTTGCAAATAGTTGTCAGTTCGCCATCCTTTTCAGGGCTTCAGTGTTCATCTGCTTCCTATCCATCTTTCTGGTGAATGTTTCCTTTAGGTACTATGGTTATAGGGCATGTTGTCTTTGATAGTCAGACAATTTGGGGTTAGCTTATTTGTCACCGGCCTGCCCAGCTTCAGAAGTCAGCAAATACATTCACATTCTTTTTTGTGTGTTTGAGGACTTTCTAGGCTTCAATTTTAATTCTTTGTGCTTGTGGAATTCATAAAACATTCTGCTTATTTTCCCCATATGTAGCAACTAGTCTTTGTTTCCATGGCCAGGGCTGGATTTTTATCCTGGCTAATCAGTGTTTGTAGTTTATAAACAGTTTCAGTGGGGACACTGAATTGTTGACAGTACTTAGAGGGATTTGTTTCTTTTAGCTGTAGTGCCATTTGACCTAGGGGATGATCTCCATCTCTAAACACTGTTAGACTGTAGGATACCACACTCTGCATTCCAGATGTTTTGGTTAAGATTTATTCTCTGATGTCCCAGGAAGCTTTGTGAGTCAGGCTATGCCACGATTTGGAAACTGGTTGGATTTATAAGGCATTAAAGAATTTAAATTTTATCTTCGGCTCTTGTACAATCCTGAAAAGTTTTGTGGTTTCTTTGTGCCCAGCACTGCCCTTTCTTCAAATGTTACCTGTGGTCCTCAGCCTCTAGCCCATGCCCAAATCTTCAAATGCTTAATGAAAAATAGAGGTGTACGCTGTAAGTCCACTTTCAAAAGGGTTGTCTCTTTGATAGCTGAACATCGTAGTCATTAGGTTTGCTCCCAATATCCTAAAAAGTTCTTATTTTTCAGCTTTCCTAGCTTGCAACAGAAATAGCTGTTTGTTATGAATTACCCCATCCAACCCGAAAGCAATTTCTGTATGTTTTTATGAGGATTTTTTTCTGTCTTTTTGTGTTTGCTTTTTATTGCTTCCACATATTATCCCTAACTTTATTGGCTCAAATTGATCATCTTACATTTCTGTAGATTAGAGGTCTGACAAAGGACCATACCTGGCTAAATTCTAAGAAACTCTTCTATGCCTGTGTCCCTTCCACATCTCAGTCATAGGCACTCTATCTGTAAATGCTCTTTCTGAGCGCTCTTTGTATTCAGATCCAGCTGGCTGTAGTGTATATACATGAGATAATTATTCCTATCTGTAGTCTGAAAAACATGTGGTAATGCAGTCTGTTTTGTTTCTTGGGTAAGAATTCCTGTCAAGCCATCCTTGATCCATTGGGTAATCTTAAATGTGAGTGGTGCTAGCAATGTGTTCTTACTCTACTTAGGACAATCCTTCCAGTAATTTCTACATTTGTCAATCTTTCTCACCTGGTTTTATGCCAGCCAAGAAAAAGACACAATGGAAAGTTTGGAAATAAATGATTAAATATTTATCATTTCAGTACTACCTAAAAGAAAACCATTTTAATAGTTGACAAAAATGTTAAAGAAAAAAGTGCCAATAGAAATATATGGAATTATTCATAATAGTATTGACAACTAAAATTGTATGTGCATTTTCCAAAATGTTTTAACTTGATTATGATTCACTGGCATCTTGACAACAAATGTGTCCTTTGCAGTTTCTTGCCAATCAGCAAATTAAAAAAGTATATTTTCTTCACAATCTGTGTAGATGTGTTTTCTTACCTGAAGAGGATGGGCCCTTCTTCTGTCAATGCTATTCCTATGTGTTTTCATTACCTACACTCTTTTCTTGTGTTTGTGTTGACTAAGGAGTGAGTGGTGATGGCTAAGTTTAGAACAATACTTAATACGAAAATATAGAAACACATGTCAGCTTCTGGAGACAATGCAACTTGTAAAACTAGCTCAGATGACCTTGTTTCCAATGCCCATTTGAGTATCTAGTAGAAATTAAGGATGGGAACTTTGGCTACATATGTTTATACCAATTTACTCACATTCAGTTTTTTTCCTTTTGTGGTTTATTATTTTGGCTTATCATTATTGGTAAATCATCTACTTTGTAAGTCATGGGTGCATGCCTGCATCTGTGTAATTTTCTCAAGCATTAGTACTAATGTCTCAGAAGGCAAGAATAATCTTTTTGGAGCTCATATAAAGATATACATGGCTTTGTTAATTTACATACTTGATACATCTACTACCATTTATTCCTTGTTCATAAAATATTTACTGAATGCCTAGTCTTTACTAATACTAACCAAATTATAATAAAAATAATGTGCTCTTTTGAAAACATATATACGAGCAATATATAGATTGAGCAGGTTATATTTAGGAATATATGCATATACATATATGCATGAAGCAATAATTAATGAAAAAGAGGGCATGATTTTGAAAGAGAGCAAGGTACAGTATGTGGGAAGACTTGTAGGGGGAAAGGGAAATGATATATTATAATCCTGAAATAAGAGAAATAACTTTGAAAATGTTATTGAGAGATAACATTTTCTCAGCAGTTTGTTATGTCCTCAGATGTCTAAGCCCTGGACTCTTGATTGATTCAGTCTCTTAGAGTGAGAATGGAAAGGCAGGTTTCTGACAGAATCAGAGTCACGACATTGGAAGCAATGAAAAAATGGATTAATGGAAATACTTTATTTTTTCAGGATGAGAGAGACCCAGAAAAAGATGAGGAGCTGGAACTGAAAAGAGGCCTGTTATTCAGAGACTCTGCCTACGACAGTGACCCTGAGTATAGGTATGGACTTGCTTCTGTGCGCAGAGATCTTTCTCATAGCTAGCATAAAAATGACCACCCATTTCTCTCTTTGTCTAGATGCTAATCTTATTTTTACCCTGCTAGTTATAGGTATGTGTGTCTGTATCTGGTTATGTGTTTTGAGACTGCAGATGCCTATGGAGCTTGGAGACACGAGATCAGTGGCTGTGAGCCACCCAGTGTTGGTGCTGGGAACTGAACTTGGGTCCTAGGCAAAAGCAGTAGGCACTCTTAACTACTGAGTAATTTCCCCAGCCCAGTTACATTATTTTGTTACTGAAGTTTTTTGATTAAACACACACACACACACACACACACACACACACACACACACACACCCCTAATCGATAAGGGGATGACTCAGTAAAAGTGCTAGTGGAACAAGCATGAGGGGTGTTTTAGAAGCAACTTTGCACTTGTGTTTGTTATCCCAGCACTGTGGAAGCAGAGATAAAGGATCCCTGGGGCTTATTGACCACAGAATGTTGCTGAATTGGTGAACTTCAGATTCAGTAGGAGACCCTATCTCTAAAATTTAGTTGTAAAATAATTGAGAAAGACACCAGACATTGACTTCTGCCTCTATACACACACGCTCATCCATTTACACACACACACACACACACACACACACACACACACACACACACACACACA